GCCTCATGTACCTGATGACCTGCACTCGTCCTGACCTTGCGTACCCTCTTGGCCTTCTGGCTCACTACGTGGCTCCTAGTCGGCACCGGAAGGTGCACGTGGATGCTGCTAAGAGGGTACTACGCTACTTGTGCAATACATCGGCCATGGGGCTTGTGCTTGGAGGACGGAGCAACGTTGTCTTCACTGGGCACTGAGACGCTTCTTGGGTTGACGACCAGGCTACGCAGCGGTCGTCACAAGGTTACACCTTCAACCTTGGCTCTGGTTCAGTTTCTTGGCGTTCTGCACGCTCGTTAGGGCCCTCGCTATCAGACATTTTTGTCTGTTTTTTCGAGAAATCAGAGAGATTTTTTTTCAATCATCTGATTTTCAAGAAATGGGTCTATTAGTTTCCATCTGTTCTATTAGACACGTGTTTTCTGTTTCGTCTGAAATCGAAACATAGCCTATCGCGTTTTTTAGTGGTGGGAAGGGAATCTCTGCCGTGACAGTGCATGGATCACTGCTGTGAAAGGTTGACTCGTTGTGTCAGGGCAAAGTGCGAACCCCTCTTGTGATAGGGCGAATGTGGTGTGAGGTGAAGGGGCGAATGTGGTGTGAAGGGGCGAATGTGGTGTGAAGGGGCGAATGTGGTTCGAAGGGGCGAATGTGGTGTGACGGGGCGAATGTGGTGTGAAGGGGCGAATGTGGTGTGACGGGGCGAATGTAGTATGAAAGGGCGAGTGTTGTGTACCCTTCGAATTGATGTGACAGGCGAGAGAGAAGTTCGACTCAATTTTTTTCCCACGTGCATCCGCACACTCGTAACTTTGTATTGATTGGTCAGACAAGGTTTTTGATTTTTTTTTTTTTCGTTACACACTCAAAAGCAAAAGTTATTATGCATGAGACGGGCCCTTCGGACTTGGGAGAGTGGCCTCGTTCTCCTCCAGTGCTATACGTTGACAACAAGGCCGCCATTGCCTTGTATCAGGAGCACAGACTGGAGCACAGAACGAAGCACATTGCTCTGCGCTACTTCCTGGCTCGAGAGCTGCAGCAGCGTGGCCAGCTTCGTCTTGCTCACGTGGTCACTCGGGCCAACACTGGTGATATATTTACCAAGGCACTTCCGTCTGGTGATCATCAGAAATTCTGCACTTTGTTAGGCCTTGTGCCCATGTTACCTCACTTGCTGTAGACTTTGCTTGTACTGTGATATATATATATAAATAAATATATATATACCAGCATGCTTGCTCTGCTAGGTAGAGATCACTGTGCTGTTGTGGTTGCATATATGCCTCTGCTTGTGAACTGGCCTTGTGGCCGTTTGCTTGTGCTCAGTGTGTGTGGTGACGTTGTGATCCACCCTGAGCTTGCTTTGCTTCTCTTGACTGGTCTTGTGACCCCTTGCTCTCCCCCACTTAGCCTATGGGGGTGTGTCAAATTATATGCATGTCATATATGTGTAGGTTGTAGTGGGGTAGCCAACATGGGGTACAACCTCATTAGGGTTTCATATTTGTACCATACCCTGATCTAGTCAATTTATTCATGTTACTAGATTCTAACACCGCTGATGGAGTTCGCGTACAACAAGGCCACATCAGCGACGATGTAGCAGTCCCCCTTCTACCTAAACTACGGGCAAAACCCTACAGTGCCCATAACGTGTAAGAGGTCCTCTGGTGATCCCCGATTGATCCTAGGGAAGGGTTACCGGCACGTAGGCATGGGGGGTTATGGGTGCACTGACCCGCTACTTAAAAAGCCCTTTTATCCCAATGGTCTAGTGGTTGGGATTCTGACATGGTATTAGAGCGAAGGTCTTGGGTGCGAATCCCGGTGTATGCTATTTAGACATCCCTGTGTGGGGGGGCGTAAGAGGTCCACTGGTGATCCCCGATTGATCATAGGGAAGGGTTACAGGCTTGTGGCTTGGGGGGTTATGGGAGCACTGACCCGCTACTTAAAAAGTTCTTTTATCCCAATGGTCTAGTGGTTGGGATTTTGACATGATGCCGAGTACGGACAACCCAACACCACGTGCACAGCAATTCGCCGAAATTCTGCAAACCGCCCGCATCAGAGCCGCTGAAGCAATTAAAAAAGCCAATGTCAACGCTAAGCGCAACGCTGACCGCCACCGCCGCCTAGTCACGTACCAGTCAGGAGATTACGTATTGTTCGACACACAAAACTTTAAGATTGTCCGTCGTACCGAAACTACGACCCTGCTACTGTGGACCATTCCAAATCAGCCACATGATTACCCGAGTGACAGCCCATCTACTGTTGCTGACGGGCTGGTACATCAGCCCTTCATTCCACGTCAGCCTGGTTCGCCCATACATCAGAACCACAAGCCAACTGCCTCGTCACCGCCCACCATCCATGACTCGCTCGGCATCGAAGCCGATCATCGAGCTCTAAAAAATCATGAGCCATCGGATTCGACACCCCGCGGGAATCAGGAGGATTGAATTTGTCGTTCGCTGGAAGGACCGCACGCCAACTGAGGATAGTTGGGTGCCCCTGGCCAACATAAAAAACCACCCTGCCCTGCAAGTGTATTTGAGGAGCCGGGGTTTCGGCGACATACACTCACTCGCGTAGCGGAGGGGGCTTCCTGAGGGGGGGGGGGGGGTAGTGTAAGGAATTTTCTCGATATTCCTTAGGGCGCCCTGCAACATCGCGTACAGCAGCAGCCGTTGTTCGCCCGTTGCTGCTAACTGGGCTTCGCCGACTTCGTGCGCACTGTTTTACCAAACCTCTGACAAAGTTTGAAGAAAGAAAGAGGGTTGAACTAGCAGAAATGGGGATACAAATAGCAAACCCTAGAAGGGTTGTACTCGCTATAGAGCACCCCACTACAGGCTAGAACATAAGATAATATTCTGACACACCCCCATAGCCAAAGTGGGGTGTAATCAGCAGAGCAGGCAAAGCAGTACAAGCTCAGGGTGGATCACAATGTCAACACACAATCTGAGCACAAGTTCAAGAAGAAATAGTTTAGAGTTCACAATTATGAGCAAAGCTAGTGGTAGTCACAACGGGCAAGTGAGGAGGAGGAGAGAGAGTGAGGGGAGAGGAGATAGGAGGCGACGGCTGAAGCTGCAGACACACGGGCAACAGGAGGCAGACTGGCACAGCGGCTACCGGACAGCGCCCGGACTACAGGAGTAACAGGCCCCGCGGCTCAAGTAGCGGCAGACGGGCAACGGACCCACGGGCGGCTGGCGTAGAAGTCTAGCTCACTGGGCTACCGGGACAGCGCCCCGGACTACAGGTGCTGCGGACAACAGTACGGCAACCTCCATGCAGCTTCCCCAAACAGTCCTACTCCCCGACACACACCCGCTGCTACACCGCTAGCTCCACTCCCACGCACTCCCCTTAAACCCTAAACCCCAGTCTCCCACACAACCACCCCCCTCAGCGAAAGCTGCAGCAGTGGGAGACGAAGGAGGAGGAGGAGCAAAGGGAGGAATGCACACCGACCACCCCCATACCTGCCACCAAGCGGCCCCCTCAGGTCGCCACGACAGACGACGGGAAATGGGGGGGGGGAGGAGGGGGGGGGGGGGGGGGGGGGGGGGGGGCGAAGTGGGGCGGCGGGGCCGCGACGGGTCGGTGGCGGGGCCGCGACCGGAGTTGGCGGGGCCGCGACCGGAGGCGGCTGGGCCGCGACGTGAGGCAGCAGGGCCGCGACCGGAGGTGGCGGGGCCGCGACGAGTCGGTGGCGGGGCCGCGACGGGTCGGTGGCGGGGCCGCGACCGAAGGTGACGGGGCCGCGACGAGTCGGTGGCGGGGCCGCGAGAGTGGGGCGGCGGGGCCGCGACGGGTCCCCGTCGCCCGTCGCGACGCGTCCAGAGCGGGACGCGGCGAACGCCGCGGCAGAAGCCCGCCGCGCGCCTCGGGGCGCACAGCGGGCAGAGAACCGCCGCACGCCTCGGGGCGCACGGCGGGCAGAAAACCGCCGCGCGCCTCGGGGCGCACGGCGGGAGGAAAAAGTAGCAGCGGAAGCGAGGTGGTAACCCACCCACAGGATCGATCCAAGGGGATCGACCTGCTCTGATAGCATGACAAAGTTTGAAGAAAGAAAGAGGGTTGAACTAGCAGAAATGGGGATACAAATAGCAAACCCTAGAAGGGTTGTACTCGCTATAGAGCACCCCACTACAGGCTAGAACATAAGATAATATTCTGACAACCTCGCACTGCTGGACCAGCCATGTCGGCCTACGCTTCGGGACTAGCCCGAGCCTCGCTTCTAGCGTAGCACTAGCTTGCTCGCAAGCACCGCGTTATCATTTGCATGTTTCGCGTTTTTAGAGCGTATTCCTATCCCCGTATCAAGAAAACCTCATATCAACCTCCCACTGAAAATTCCCCTAAACCCAAAACCTCTCGCTACTTTTACTAGGCGAAGAGTACAATCTCGATTTGAGGTTTTCTTGATACGAGGATAGGAATACGCTCTAAATGTTCGCTCATGCCTTCGCTATAATCCTCGCTACTTCGATTCATTACACCCGTACCAAGCACCAAAGCGTGCCATGTATTTTTGGATTGATGCTACTGAAGTTGGATTGTACCCCAAGTACACCTTAGTACGCATGTCAGTCTGTGTGTGAACACATCACAAATCCACACTTCACATCATGCAGAAAGAACCCCGACACACCGAAACTCTGACAAACAATCCAAAACCAGAGAGAACACAGCATGTGTACATGTTCTCACCCTTGCACGCTATTCTAAAAGGGGTTATTTCAAACAAATCTTTACTGCCCCACCAAGACAGCAGCTACAAGTCTCATCACCAGTTTGCCACACCAGAGTGCCTCAAGCTGGCTGCTTCCATGAACCTGCTTCCCTCCCAACAACGGCTGCTACAGAAGCAGCAGCACTTGAAGCAGCAAAGCAGTAGAAACAGAAACAGAAGCAGCAGAAGCAGCAGCCGCAGCGGCAGCCGCCGCCACTGTCACAGCAGCAGCAGCGCCCTGTAACTATTCTGTTGCCACCAACTCAGGTACAGCCACTCCAACCACAGGATCAGCATTAGCATCAGATGCATCAGCAGCAGCGCCAACAGCACCAACACCCGCAACCCGGCCACCAGCACCATCGGCAGCAATCACCCCGTTCACCGGGCGATCCAAGCCGACCATTTCCACTCCGACCGATTCCTTGCATTCTGGACCGTCCAGATCGCCGTTGGGCCGAGACTCGTAATCTGCACCGTCGAGCAGTGGCAGGTAGAGGATGAAGCGGCGGAGCATCTCGAGAGATGCCTCGGGCTGATCCATGGGGACCATGTGCCCCGCCTCATGCACCTGGTGGGGGGGAAAGGGGGGAGGGGAAGGGGGAGGGAAAGGGGGAGGGAAAGGGGGAGGGAAAGGGGGAGGAAGGGGAGGGAAAGGGGGAGAGAAAGGGGGAGGGTAAGGGGGAGGGTAAGGGGGAGGGGAAGGGGGAGGGGAAGGGGGAGGGGAAGGGGGAGGGGAAGGGGGAGGGGAAGGGGGAGGGGAAGGGGGAGGGGAAGGGGGAGGGGAAGGGGGAGGGGAAGGGGGAGGGGAAGGGGGAGGGGAAGGGGGAGGGGAAGGGGGAGGGGAAGGGGGAGGGAAAGGGGGAGGGGGAGGGGAAGGGAGAGGGAAAGGGGGAGGGGGAGGGGAGAAACACAGGAGGGGGAGCGTAGGTTGAGGATGAAGCAGCGGAGCATTCAAAGAGCCGCATCGGGCTGATCGGTGGGGACCATGTGCCCCGCCTCATGCACCTGGTGGGGTGGAGGGGGAGGGGAAGGGGGAGGGGGAGGGGGAGGGGGAGGGGGAGGGGAAGGGGGAGGAGGAGGGGGAGGGGGAGGGGGAGGGGGAGGGGGAGGGGGAGGGGAAGGGGGAGGGTGAAAGAGGAGACACAGGAAGGGGAGAGACAAGGGGAAGTGAGGGAGCAGCTGAGGAGGAGCGTGAAAGAAGGGGGCTCTGCGCAGGGCTAGAGAGGCACGCAGGAGGCTCAGGTGGATGGCAGGTTGAGGATGCATCGGCAAAGCAGCTCGAGAGGTGCCGCAGGGTGATCCATGGGGAGAGGAAAAGAAAGCCAAGGAAGGAGAAGCGAAGGCAAGAGAGGGAAAGGGAAAGGCAAGTAAGAAGGGGGACACTCACCATGCCATACCATGCCATGCCATGACTAGAACAGAACCAAACTCACGCGCAGGAAGGAAAGAGGCTCAGCGATTCTTGCCGACCCAGCGGTCTGGCCGTTGACAACGAAGGGCTGCCACGGGGCCTTGGCATAGCGGTCCATGCCCGGCCACTTCATGGAGTTCACCCACCACGAGTTGCCTGCAGGGGTGAAAGACAGAAAAGGAAGAGGAGGGAATAGAAAGGGGGAGTAAGGTTCTTGCTCTAATGCCGGCTCTGATTCTGCTGCTTGGCATAGCGGTCCATGCCCGGCCACTTCATGGAGTTCACCCACCATGAGTTGCCTGGGAAATGGGGAGTAGAGAGACGGGAAAGGAGAGAGAGGAAGTGTGAGGGACAAGGGAGGAGGAGGAATGGAATCAGTAGTCTCAGAAGGCTTGTGGTGTGGCATAGCGTGGTCCATGCACCATGCCGAACCACTTCACACCACCCACTTCATGTGGTCAGCCCATTGCCACCATAAGCTGGCTCGAGGAAAACGGGGAAGCCACCCATTGCCTAGGCACCCACTGCCTAGGCACCCACTGCCTAGGCACCCACTGCCTAGGCACCCACTGCCTAGGCACCCATTGCCTAGGAGTATCCCCTCCCTCCTTCTCTATCCACACTCCCTCCCTGTGTGGGACTCACCGATCCAGTTGCACATACAGTCTCCAACATACATCATACATCACTCTCACTTGCCGCCAGCGGGTGAGAAACGTGTTTTGAGACGTCTCAAAACTCACTTGCCGCCAGCGGGTGAGAAACCTTGGTAGCAAGGTCTCGCATCAAGTCAAAGAGCATGGCGTGAAACACACGGCTGCTGCAGCTCTCCCACTTGCACCCCCTGCACCACAGCCACTGCCCCAACTGCCCGCCCACCGCCCACCTGTCTCTTCCCCACCACACTCTCCACCACCTGCCCTCCCCTTCAAAGACTGCCCTCCCCCTGTTTGCGACTCACCGATCCAGTTGCAGATATAGTCTGCGTCTCCGGCATACACCAGCACGCGCACGTCTGCAGCGAGCAGGTGAGGCACCTTGGGAGCAAGGTCTCGCATGAAGTCAAAGAGCATGGCGTGATACACGCGGCTGCTGCAGCTCTCCCACTTGCGGTCGCCCACGCCCAGCGCCTTGCGCACCCAGGGGAGTGCCAGGAACTTGTCTGCGGCTGACATGTCATAGCACAGAGGGTCGTCTCCACACTCTATGCGCACATCGTAGGGCTGATGGGGGAAATGGGGTAAGGGGTAGGGGAGCGAGAAGGGGGAGAGAGGCGAAGGAGAGAGAAAGAAGCAAAGGCAGGAGGGCATGGGGAGAGAGGTGGGATGAGGGAAAAGGAAGGGGGAGTGAGGGGAAGCAAGGCTCTCCCACTTGCGGGCGCCCACGCCCAGCGCCTTGCGCACCCAGGGGAGTGCCAGGAACTTGTCTGCGGCTGACATGTCGTAGCACAGAGGGTCGTCTCCACACTCTATGCGTATATTGTAGGGCTGATGGGAGGGGGGGGGGGGTGGGTGGGATGGAGGGGGCGGGATTGGGATGGAGAGGGAGAAAAGAGGGCTGTTCGGACCAGCATTTCGTCGGTAGCTGTCTTGTTGTAGCAGAACCAGAGTGAAGGGAGAGCGGGAGGGGCTTGCCAAAAGCAAAACAAGCGGGGAGGGGGTTTGAGGTTGAGATGGCCTGGACTGGTGGCTGGCAGACAGAATGCACACAAGTGGGAGAAAGCAGCATAGCAGCGCATGAGAACGGACATGACATGGTGCAACTGTATGGCCGAGGGCGGGGGTGGGGGTGGGAGCGTGGGCGAGAGCATGGGCGAGAGCGTGGGCGAGAGCGTGGGCGAGAGCGTGGGCGAGAGCGTGGGCGAGGGGGGAAGGGCGAGAGCGAGGGCGAGGGGAAGGGCATACGTTGAGACGGCCTGAGCCCGTGGCAGCATACACAGAGCCCCCCAGAACTGAATGCCAGAATCATAGCATGTGGGCAAGGCAAGGGCGCGCGCGTGAGGTGAGGCGCGCCGAGGGCAAGAGAGGAAATACGTACGTTGAGGCGGCCTGAGCTGGATGCAGCATATCAAAGCCCCAGACAAGAGAAGGCGTGGGGGAGGGGGGAATCATAGCAAGGGGGCAGGCATACACTAGGCAAGGGGAGGGGGAGGGCATACGTCAAGGCGGCGGCCTGAGCCGGTGGCAGCATACACAGAGCCCCAGAAGCAAGAGAAGGAAGGAAAGAGGGGGGGTGTGGGGCAAAGGGAAGGGCGTACGTTAAGGGAAAGAGGCTGCCTGAGCCCGTGGCAGCAGATACTGAGCTGTAGAACTGGGGGGCGGAATCATCTCATCCCATGTGGGCAAGGCAAGGGCGCACGTGAGGAGAGACCGCGGGTGGGAGGAAATACGTACGTTGAGGGTGCCTGAGCCCGTGGCAGCATACACGGAGCTCCAGAACTGCTCGCATATGATGAACGCCGCCCCACAGCTGATTCTCCCAGACTCGCCTGCACGGCGGGGTGGGGGGTGGGGGGTAAGACGAGTGGGGACGAGGGGGGACGAGGGGGGAGAGAGGGGGACGAGAGAGGAAAACGGGGGGGGGGGGGGAGAGGGAGAAAGGAAGGTGATTGTGGGAGGAGCGGACATAGATGGAAAGAGCAAGATTGGGGGCTATTGGGGGAAAGAGACGGGGGGGGAGGCAGGGGAGGAGAGGTGGTGGTGGGGAGAGCGTGGAATGAGGTGAAGGGAGAGAGGGGTGCGACGACAGGTGAATAAATCCAGGAAAAGCGGAGAGAAATTGGCAGGAAAATAAATGGGCACAGCGATGGGAGGGGGGAAGAGGTGGGGAAGAGGTGGGGAAAGGGGACCAGAGCCCACCGCAGGTGTGCGGCGAAGTGGCAGGGCTTGCTGAAGTGCGGCAAGTGGTGCAGCTGGTGCTGGTGGGTGCTTACCCTGCCCCTTCCTCCCTTTCCCCTCCTCCCCCCCCCAAACCAGATCCCCAGCTCCCCAACAGGCATACGGAACGCACCGCAGGAGTGCGCGGCGAAGTGGCAGGGCTTGCTGAAGAGCTAGAAGTGGTGCAGCTGGTGGTGGGTTCTTTTGAATAGACTGGACTCACCCACCTACAACCCACCGCAACCCACCGCAACCCACCACAACCCACCAACAACCCCACACTCACCACAGGAGTGTGCGGCGAAGTGGCAGGGCTTGCTGAAGAGCTGGAAGTGGTGCAGCTGCGCGTCTGAGAGCAGCCCGCGCGAGTGCGCAAAGACGGGGTAGCTGGGGAACTGCACCTCGGGATGCGTCATGCCGTTGCCTATCGCCACTCCCTGATGGGTGAAGGGAAGCGGCAGAGGGGAGGGGACAGAGGGGGCAGAGGGAGCAGAGGGAGCAGAGGGAGCAGAGGAGAGGGGAAGAAGAGGGGGAAGGGGAAGGAGCAAAGGGGAAAGCAAGGGACGAGGAGGAGGCTTGAGAGGTAGAACAGCCGCGCGTCTGAGAGCAGCCCGCGCAAGTGCGCAAAGACCGGGTAGCTGGGGAACTGAACCTCGGGGTGTGTCATGCCGTTGCCTATTGCCACTCCCTGATAAGTGTTGGATTCCCACGGGGGAACGGGGAGGGGGAGGGGGATGAGGGGTAAGGAGAGGGGGAAGGGGAGTGGGAAGGCGAGGGGAACAAGAGGGGGGGGAAGGGAGGAGGAAGGGAAAGGGGGTTGGAAGGGAGAGAGGCAGGTTGTAAGGGAGGGGCAAGCTGGGGGGAATAGAATAGGTGGGGGAGAAGAGAGAGAGCGCAAACTGGCGCAAGCTCTCTCTGCTTGCGCTGTTGCTGTTTTTTGGCAGGCATGCACACCACACCGGTGGGGAAGAGGTAAGCGGGGTTGGGGGGGAGGGGGAAAAAACACACTTAGACAGATACGCGCACACAGAGAGAAGCATCTGGCCCACCCACCTTGAGAGTAATGACTTTTGAGGCGCCTCAAAAGCAGCTGGCTGCTGGCCCACACCCATCTTGAGGCTGATGGGCCTGTTAGAGGCCCACACCCCTCCTTGCGCCTGTTGCCACAAGTGCCTTGTTAGAGGCGTGCTGATGGACACACGTATGTGAGCACTCGCACGCACACACAGATATGCGCACGCGCACACACACAAAAGCAGCCGACCCACCCACCTTGAGGTTGATAAGTAACCCCTCCTTGCGCCGGTTGCCGATGACCACTCTGTCTGCCACAGCAGGAATGTAGTGCCCCCCGTACGACTCGCTCGTTAAGAAGAAGCAGCACACGTACGCATATGCACGCACACGCGCGTTCACACAGAGAGAAGCGGCTGACCCACCCACCTTGAGGTTAATAGGCAGCCCTTCCTTGCGCCTGTTGCCGATGACCAGTCTGTCCGCCACAGCAGGAATGTAGTGCCTCCCGTACGACTCGCCCGTTAAGAAGAAGCAGCACACGTACGCATATGCACGCACACGCGCGTTCACACAGAGAGAAGCGGCTGACCCACCCACCTTGAGGTTAATAGGCAGCCCTTCCTTGCGCCTGTTGCCGATGACCACTCTGTCCGCCACAGCAGGAATGTAGTGCCCCCCGTATGACTCGCCCGTAATGTAGAACTCTCGCCCCTGCAGCTCTGGATGCGCCAGGAAGAACTCCTGGGGAGGGGGAGGGCGGGGAGGGGCGGGGGGCGGGGGAGCGGGTGAGCGGGGGGGGAAAACAACAGGGATGTAATGCCCCGCGGACGACTCCCCTGTGATGTAAAACTCGCGCCCCTGCAGCTCCGGATGGGCCAGGAAGAACTCCTGGGGAGAGGGGGAGAAAGGCGGGGAGGGGAGGGTTGGGAGGGGAGGCGGAGTGAAAGGTGAGGAGCGGGAAACGGGAGGGTAGGGGAAGAAGAAGGGGGGGGGGGGGCGGAACAGAGCAAACGAGGCAGGAGGGGGGAACAGGAAAAGGGAGGGTGGATCGGCAGACGGAGGGAAGGACCAGAAGACGAGGGGGCGGCCGAAGAGAGAGGAACGCACCTGCAGGAACTCGTACATACCCTGGCCTGGCTGACTCTGTTCTCCGTGGTTAGGCGCAAGGCTGGAGTCACGGCGGACAGAGGGGATGGGGGGGGCGACTGACGCACCTGCAGGAACTCGTACATACCCTGGCCAGGCTGACTCCGTTCTCCGTGGTTAGGCGCATGTCCCTCAGGGCTCTCGGGAAGGAAACTGGAGCTCGGCGCGCAACCGGAACTGGAGGTCAGCATGCAACTGAACTGAGCGCCGGAACCCGAGGGAGGGAGGGAGGGAGGGAAGGGAACGAGTGAGGCTGCGATGCGACTGACCTGCAGGAACTCGTACATGCCCTGGCTGACGCCGTTCTCCGTGTGCCGCATGTCCCTCAGGGCGCTCTTCAAGGGAACTCAGTGCGCAACTGACTGCCGGACACGAGGGAGGGAGGGAAGGGAACGAGTGAGGCTGGGACTGACTGACCTGCAGGAACTCGTACATGTCCTGGCTGACGCCGTTCTCCGTGTGCCGCATGTCCCGCGGGTCGCTGCTGTAGCTGAACCCCGTGTTGACCGGCTGATCCACGTAGATGATGTTGGATACCTGAAAGGGGGGGGGGGAATGGGGAGGGGAAGGGGGGAGGGGAAGGGGGGAGGGGAAGGGGGGAGGGGAAGGGGGGAGGGGAAGGGGGGAGGGGAAGGGGGGAGGGGAAGGGGGGAGGAGGGGAGAGACAGGGGGGAGTGGGGCATAAGAGGAGTTAAGGGGAGGGACGGGTCGTTGCTGCAGCAGAAGCCCGTGTTTACCGGCTGATCCACGTAAATGATATTGGACATGGTGCGTGTGTCTGTCTGGGGGTAGGAAATGGGGGGAGGGAGGGCAGAAGCACGCGCGAGCAGGTTTCGCACACGCACCATGTCACAGCCAGTCATACGTGTTCCAAAACAAACGCACACCCAATCAAACGCGCTCACATTATCGCACACGCACGCGCACGCGCGTAGGTTTCGCACACGCATGCACACGCGCGTAGATTTCGCACACGCACCACCAATTCCCGGTATGCGCATCAGCAATTCCCCAGTACACGCACCTACGATCCCCCCGGTATTCTCACGCGCCACACCCGTAGGTTTCGCAGACACACGCACCATGTCCCAGCCGTAGGGGTTCCACGAGAGCGACGCGTTGTCGTTGTTGATGGTGAAGGGGCCGTTCTCGAAGAAGAGGGCGATCTCGCTGCTGCACCCCGGGCCGCCCGTCATCCACAGCACCAGCGGCGCCGTGTCCTTGTCGCCGCGCGACTCGAAGTAGAAGTAGAACAGCCTGGGGGGGGGGAGAGAATGCGCGCGCGGGGGAGGGGGAGCGGGAGGGGGAACGGGGGAGGAGGAGCGGAAAGGGGAGGGGGGACGGGGGGAGGGGGAGCGGAAAGGGAAGGGGGAACGGGGGAGGGGGAGCGGCAAGGGGAGCGGGACGGTGGAACTCGGGCGGAGTTGGGGAGCGAACGAAAGTCCATGCGGTTGCACTAACATAGTAAATGACCGTACAGGCAAAGACAAATAAATGGACAAAAAAAGCTTTTGACGGACAAATTGATGGCGGAAGGAATAATAATGGAAGAGAGACTCGGGAATGGGGTGGGTGGGGGCGGGAGGAGGGGGGGGGAAAGGAGGGGAGGGGGAAGGGAAGATGGGAGGGGACCGGGATGAGGCGAGCAGAGGAGGTGAGGGTGCTACGAGTGGAGGGAGGAGCAAAGAGCAAGAGGAAGGAGAAGGAGGCAAAGAACGAATCACTTGCCTAGCATCGTGTGTTCGGTTCAGGCGAAAATAACCAGCCGTGTGGCGAATGTCCGGCTCGCCTTCGCCAACGCTTTCGCCAACCTTCGCGCGGTTCACGCGAAGAAGGTCTCCCTCCGGCGGCTTATACGCGTCCAATCCAAGATCGAGCGGATTCTCAACAAGCCTCGGGGAAGCATCAAACGCGCCAAGACCATCAGTATTTTCTCCGATAGAAGCCGATTCGATTGTAGCACCGCGCACGATGTCACCGCGCAAAGCGGACATCGTGGGTAAGGAGCGCACGGGACTTGCGGCGAGGACGGCAAGCAGACAGCAGAGCGCTGCTGCGCCTCGGATTGCCGGCGCCATGGTCACTAAGATGCGGCACAGACAACGCGACGAAGGGCTCTATTGCACGAGTCTTCAATGTCCGAAGAGGGTCTCAGGAATTTCTGCGGTTTCTGCGGTTTCTGCAGCAAGAACGCAGAACAAGAAACTGCTATGCCGAGACGCAACGCAACAGCAACTGCCTTGATGAAGGCATGGAGCTTGGGGGGTTGCCCAAAGCTGCCGAATTGGATTTGGATTGTCCAAAAAAATCAAGTACGGTACTGTCTGATGCTTGGCGTAATAGTACGTTTAGGATTTCTATAAAGCGGTAGAATGAGGTTGTGTTTGGCAGCAGCACATTTTCACATTCCACGTTGAACAGCCTTAGAATTCTGGGAAGGCGGAGGCAGTGGGGTGCGCGGAAAGGGAAAGGCGGTAAAAGAAAGGCGGTGGGGGAGGGGCCGAAGGGGAGGCAGAGGCGGCGGGAAGGGGCGTCAGGGCGGGAGGAGGAGGGGAAGGACTGCGGCAATGCAGCACCAAACGGCACAGGCAAAGTTTTGCCCGCCTGTATTTGCAAAAAGTGAGGAAGTGTCCGCGGAGGGTTGCCTGATGGACGGCGATTGGAGGGCAGGTCCCATGAACCCCAATCTACGGACGGACGGATCGGCCCGTCCAAAGCGCGCTGAGGTCAGTCTCATCCGCCACCCAGCACAGCACAGCACTAGTAGGCAGGGCCACATGCATTACAGGTTGTCGTGGCAAAATGGATCAATTGCTTGAGATCGATAAGAGAAAACTCGGTTTCTGGTACAGATAATTGTTATGTCATCATCACGTATTGTGAATACTGATTTGTATTCCTCCACGACAAATGAATACGGAAGAAAAGTATGGTATGAGAAACTAAAAAAACAAAATCAAGACAACGTCGTGTGTGCCACTCTTGAAAATTATCATCCATGCGTTCTCTTTTTTTTTTTTTTAGGTGAAACAACATTATACAACCAGGGCTCTTGCTATAATTTGGGCCTGTCTGAAAACAACTAAGTAAAAATTCGTTCCGTCTGGCGATCAGACGGGCATATTCTTTTGGTCTGGTTTTCCAGACGAATGTTGGACCTTAGTCTGTTTTTTCATACTATTTATTTTGCATAGTCTGATTTAGCTAAGACCCTTGTCTAGCATAATCATACTTGTTTTAATTAATGAATGCGCCCCTGACGCTGACAGCTCGCTAGCTAACAGGCGTGTGAACGGGGGCTAAGCTGTTAGAGAAGCGAGGGATAAGGGGGAAGTAGGGGGAGGGGGTGTGTCAGAATGTGTTGTTTGTCTAGCCTGCAGTGGGGTACTCTAAAGCGAGTACAGCCCGAATTAGGGTTAGTTATATGTACTCAACTGCCTGCTAGTGAAAACCTCCTCTTTCCTGTTCTAACTTTCTGCTACTGATTTCTTACATGCTATCAGAGCGAGTCGACCCTCCTGGGTCGATCCTGTGGGTGGTACCGCCCTATGCTTCCGCTGCTGTCTTGTCTGTCGCGCGCCCCGTGGCGCGCGACGTTTTTTCTTCCCGCCACGCGCTCGGGGCGCATGGCAGTTTTCTCCCTACCATGCGCCCCGAGGCGCGCGGCGGTTTCCCACCGTCGCGTCACCCCGGGGGCCCGCGCGCGGCTCCCTGTCGCCCTCCGCGCAGCCCCGTCGACCCGCGCGCGGTCCCTCTGTCGTTCGTCGCGGCGCCCTCGGAGACCCGCGCGCGGCCCCTCGTCGTCCGTCGTGGCGCCCTCGGGGACCCGCACGCATACTGTCAAACTATGTTTACATATTTTATATAATCGTTTGCAGTTGTAGTGTAGATATTGCATCATGTTTGGTGGTGCACCTCCTTGTGTTGCTGTTTACCTATTTGTACTTGCTATTCTCATTACTGAAGCTCTCTTTTTGGCTTGCATTTCCTCTCGCTACTTTCCTAAGCCTCAACCCTAGGCTTTACATAGCCTCCTATTCTCAACATGCCATCAGAGTCGGTACCTCATAGGACCTAATTTTCATGGGCCCACCAAACCCGCCATCGTGCATGGCGATCTACGGTTCTGCTGTCGCGGTTGCTACTGCCAGTAGCGTGACATTTGCAGATGCTGGCGCTGTTTTTGCTGCACCAGTCGCGCTGCACCCTTCGCGCTACCCTGTTGCCCTGTCAACCCTGCTGTCATGGCGATGAGCTGGGCGGCTCGCGCTGCCCCGTCGTCCCGTCGCCTCGTCACCCGCCTCGTGCTACCCGCCCCGTCCCGCGTTGCCCCGCCCCTCGTCCGCTACGAGCAGCCGGAGGAGCCACGCACAGCCGAACGCAGCTCCGTACGGCCGCGTGAAGCCGCGCACAGCTGCGAGCAGCCGCGTACGGCCACGCGCAACTGCGCCGCTCCCCTGCCCCACACCTGCTTCTCGTACGCCAGTGACAAGGGGGGGGGGGGGGGGGGGGGGGAGGGTGTAGGGGTGGCGCGCGGGTGACACAGCTCCTGCTGCCGCTCTTCGCCTATTCCTCCCTCTCACTGCTGCTCGTGCACCCGTGGGGAGAGGGGGAGTGTGAGAGGGTGGCGAGAGAGATCCTGCAAAGCCAGCAATCGCCCCTCCTCTCTCTCTCACTACCGCTAGTGCTGCTGTGGGGGGGAGGGTAAGAGAGGGTGGCGGGGAAAACAGTCAAGCATCTGCAGCTGCCACCCGCTGCTACCGTGGCACCTCCTGCTGCCGCCCCTGCCGCCACCTGCCCTTGCTTGTGCTGTCTGCTGCTGGGGCCTGCAGGTGCTGCCGTCAAGCCGCTGCTGTCCTGCTGCACTTTGCAGCCACAGAGCCTGCTCCTCAGGCGACCTGCCGCCCCTACACCTGCTACTGCTTCTGCCTTGGCTGAGGGCGTGCTACAGTTGTATTTGCCACTCCTGCACCAGCTACTACTGCTCTTGCTTGCTTCTGCTTCTTCCACTGCACTCCTGGTGCACCCTGTCAGGGGGCGTTTTACACTTACTCCTGCAATCAATTATGGGGGCGTGTCAAAATATGTTTACATATTTTATATAATCGTTTGCACTTGTAGTGTAGATATTGCATCATGTTTGGTGGTGCACCTCCTTGTGTTGCTGTTTACCTATTTGTACTTGCTATTATCATTAGTGAAGCTCTCTTTTTAGCTTGCATTTCCTCTCGCTACTTTCCTAAGCCTCAACCTTAGGCTTTACATAGCCTCCTATTCTCAACACTTCCCCCATCGTCCGTCGTGGCGTCCCAGAGGACCCGCGCGCGGCCCTCCGTCGCCCGCTGTGGCGCCCCCATCGACCCGCGCGTCGCCCCCGGGGACCCGCGCGCCCGTCTCCGTCGACCCGCGCGTCCCTCCCGTGGACCCGCGCGCTGCCCCCGGAGACCTCCGCGCCCGCCCCAATCGACCCGCGCGCCGCCCCTTGCCCTGTGCGCCGCGGGGCTGCTTCCTCCCCGCTCCTGCCCCGTGCTGCCTATGTTAGGGTTTGGGGGTGGCGAGTATGGGGGTGACGGGAGTGTGTGCCGTCCCCTGCTCCTCCTCCTCCTCCGTCTCCCACTACTGCAGCTGCCGCTGAGGGGGGTGGATGTGTTGGAGCCGTCGGAGTGGTACGAGGGGGGTGGCGTGTGAGCGAGTGCTAGGGGTACAGCAGGGGGTGTGTGAAAGGGGTGTGAAACAGTTGGGGGAGGTTGACCGGAGGTAGCCGTTGTAACCTCAGCAGCGCCAGTAGTCCGGGGGTTGAGTACTCCGGTAGCCCAGCGAGCCTGCTGCTGCCAGTCGCCCGTGGGTCCGTTGCTCCTCCTGCTGCTTAGCGCGGAACCAGTTACTCCTGTAGTCCGGAGGTTGAGTGCTCCGGTAGCCACCGTGCGCGCCGTTCCTGTTGCCCGTGTGTCTGCGGCTTCACTCGACGCCTCCTATCTTCACTCCTCTCACAGTCCATCCTCCTCCTCACTTGACCTCTGTGACTGCCTCTAGCTTTGCTTGTATTTGTGAACCTACTGCTCTGCCTGCTTGCTGTGCTGATTATACCCCACTTTAACTATTGGGGTCTTTCAGAATGTGTTGTTTGTCTAGCCTGCAGTGGGGTATTCTATAGCGAGTATAGCCCGAATTAGGGTTAGCTATGTGTACTCAACTGCCTGCTAGTGAAAACCTCCTCTTTCCTGTTCTAACTTTCTGCTACTGATTTCTGACGGGGTGTGAAGAAGTGGGGGTTCGGTATCAGACGAAATGCAACCCGCTGTGAAAGAATGAGGAAAGGAATGAACTAGCACAAGGTTGGGTACAAGTAGGAAACCCTAGGAAACTGTACCCCATAGTGTCTACCCCACTATAGCCTAGACAAGCTATATGATATGAGTTTGACACACCCCCATAGGCAAAGTGGGGGAGAACAAGAGGTCACTAGACCAGTCAAGCAAGACAAAGCAAGCTCAGGGTGGATCACAATGTCACCACACAATCTGAGCACAAGAGCAAGGCCAAAAGTGTGAAGAAATGAGGAATGGATGAACTAGTAAGCAGGTGGGTACAAGTAGGAAAACCTATAAGTGTTGTACCCCATATTGTCTACCCCACTATAGCCTACACAGACTATAGCATAAGAGTTTGACACACCCCCATAGGCAAAGTGGGGGAGAACAAGATGTCACAAGACCAGTCAAGCAAAGCAAAGCAAGCTCAGGGTGGATCACAACGTCACCACACAGTCCGAGCACAAGAGCAAGGCTAGAAGGCCAGTTCACATGCAAGATCATATATAAAGGTAAACAAGCAAGTGCAGGTATAGAAAGATCACAGTACAAGCAAGGTCAAGAAGTGAGCAAGTGAGGCCAAGTAGGCACAAGACCTAGCATCCTACAACAGTGTTGGCCTCAGAGGCCACGTAAGCAAGGCGCAGCTGACCATGCTGCTGCAGCTCAGGAGCAAGGAAGTAGCGAAGAGCAATGTGCTTCGTTCTGTGCTCCAGTCTGTGCTCCCGACACAAGGCCAGCATGGCCTTGTTGTCTACGTACAGAACAGGAGGAGAACGAGGCGGCTCTCCTAGGTCAGTCAGAAGGTAGGTGAGCCAGCGTAGCTCCTGTGCAGCCATGGCCCCTGCGTAGATCTCAGCCTCACAGCTGGAGCCGAGAACAGAAGACGAGCGGGTAGAGTGCCACGAAACAGAGCCGGAGCCAAGGCTGAAGGTGTAACCCTGTGACGACCGCTGCGTAGCTTGGTCTTCAGCCAAAGAAGCGTCTCCGTGACCTGTGAGGACCACTCGACGTCGCCCTCCAAGCACTAGCACCATGCCCGACGTACTGCACAAGTAGCGCAACACCCTCTTTGCTGCAGCCATGTGCTCTGGTCGGTGTCTCCCAGGAGCAACATAGCGTGCCAAGATGGTAAGAGGGTATGCAAGGTCAGGTCATGTGTAGGTCATTAGGTACATGAGGCAGCCAACAAGCTCTGGGTACGGGCCACTCGGCTCTACGGACTCATCCGAAGGCAGAGCTGAGAGCGAGTGGCGAGTAGACAGAGGAGTGGCCTGAGGCGAGGAGTACGTGAAGTCGAAGCGCTGAAGGACCTGTTGCACCATGTGTGACTGAGTCAGGGTATTGGTGCGCTGTGCGCTGTCCCGGGTGACCTGCAAGCTAAGGTAGCTGCGCAGTTCACCCAGGTCTGTGCACGTGTGTCTCTTTTGCAGCTCAGACTTCACGTTGGTGAGTTTAGCAGTGTCAGCTGTGGCAAAGACCAAGTCGTCGACGTACAGGAGGATGTAGAACGGCGGCAAAGAGGTGTCGGTGCGCAGAAACAGCGATGGGTCGGCTGTAGAAGGAGCAAACCCAAGAGCCGCAATTGTAGTCCTCAGTGTGTCGTGCCACTCACGGGGCGCCTGGCGGAGACCGTAGACTGGCCGCCGGAGGCTCCACTGGGTACCAAGAGGAAACGACCCAGTGAAGCCAGGTGGGCGGTGCAGCCAGATCTCCTCGTACAGGCTGCCCTGCAAGAAAGCAGTGCTGAAGTCAAGAGAGTGAAGCTCGTAGTTGCGCTGAGCGGCTATGTGCAGCAGCACCCGAAGAGTGGTCATCTTCGGGGTGGGAGAGAAGGTCTGAAAGTAGTCAACTCCCTGCCGCTGACTGAAGCCTCGAGCCACGTAACGCGCCTTGAAGACAGGCGGAGAACCCGGCGGCCGCTTCACCCTAAAAATCCACATGCCACTGACGATGTTCGCCCGAGGTGGGGGAACCTCGTCGACATAGGCCTGTGGACTTCCAGGAAGCCATCTCTGCATCCATGGCTTACTGCCACTGAGAGGAGTAGGGACCCTCGATCGCCTCAGCGTACGATCAAAGAGTCGGGATGTCTGGTGCATACGGGTCTCCCTCAGGGGCAATCAGCGTGGACACGAGATGGGGCAAAGCAGCAGCAAAGCACTGGAACTCCTCCTGCCTGTCCTCAAGGACATCCGTGCTAAGAGCACACTCACCCCCGACGGACGGAGGACAGACAAACTCAGACTCAGCAACGAGACTAGCGGCGTAATCTAGACGACAGCGAGCAGCAAAGTCGACAAGCTCAGCAACTAAGGCCGACGCAGCAGTGGACTCAAAGGAACGGTCAGTGACAACAGTAGCCAGCAGACGCGTGAAAGTAGGACGGGCAGCACGAAGAGAGTCAGACTCCGGGTCAGCAAGAACAGGAAGAGAGGACTCTGGAGGAGACGACAACGGGACACGCAGCGGAGCAGTGGAAGGACGCAGTGCCATCTGGTGTGTGCTTGGGACCGCGGGAGGACGTGGACGCGGAGCACGACAACTAGTGCGAGCAGCACGAACAGGCGACGCAGGACGAGACGCAGGCTCACGACGCTTAGCAAGACCTCCATTAGGACTAGTGTAGGGAGAAGGAGTAGGTAGGGGGGAGGCGGGTTGTAACTGTGACTGCGACTGGAGAGGCTGTGGACACTCTAAGGGAGGAGCAGGACCAGCAGAGGGCAGGAAACCAAGAACCTGCTCAAGGAGCGGAACAAAGTACGCGGCCGCGCAGCGCCTCCAGAACCAGCAGGGACAGCACCAATACTCCCAGTAGCAGCACCAGCGCCAGTAGCACCTCCAGCTCCAACAGCGCCAACTCCAGCACCCTGAGACGCACCAGCGCTAGCAGAACCACCAGCGCCAACACCCCCAGTAGCTCCAGCAGCTCCTGCAGCACCAACTCCAACAGGACCGGCAGCTCCAGTACCGCCAGCAGCTCCAGCAGTACCTCCAGCAGGACCTACTCTAGTAGCCCCAGCAGCACCCCCAGTCCCAGCAGCTCCAACACCGCCAGTACCAGTACCTCCGGGACCAGCAGCAACAGTAGTACCTCCAGCTCTAGCAGCACGGCTCCAGCGCCGGGCAAACCACTTGCGAAGCTCCTGCGGAGAGATTGGCTCTCGCCTTGACGAAGCACCGCGAGAGGACACACGAGCAGACCCAGCATCCCCAGGCTCTGCACCCGCAGGCTCAGCACCCCCAGGCTCAGCACCCCCAGACTCAGCACCCCAAGGCTCAGCACCCCCAGTCGCAGCACCCCCAGGCTCAGCACCCCCAGGCTCAGCAACCCTGGACTTAGCACCCCCACGCTCCGCACCCTCAGGCCCAGCACCCCTAGACCCAGTACCCGCAGGCTCAGCACCTCTAGCAGCACCAGAGTCAACAGCTACCTCGACAGGCTCGACTGCGTCTACCTGGGACACACCTGACGGGGCAAGACCCTGAGGGGGGAGGGGGTCTACCGGGGGAGGACCTAACGCAAGGAAGAGCGGTGGCGGGGGGAGGGGCGCAGTGCGGTAGGGGACGAGACGGTAGTAAGGCACGGACTCGTCAAAGGTGACGTCTAGGGAGGACAGAACATGGCGCGAGGTGGGGCGGTAAAACTGCCAACCAGGCGCGTTAGGGGGGAAGCCAAGGAAGACGCAGGGAACAGCACGGGGGGACAGCTTGTCCGCAGACAAGTCGCGGACAAACGCCCGAGATCCCCATACCTGAAACGCAGACGCATCGCCAACCTTCCCCGTCCACCGGAGGGTGGGGGAGGTCTCTGGCAAGGAGACCCGGGGCTTGAGGTTGAGGTGATGCACTGCGTACTGAACCGCAAACGGCCACAGAAAATTGGGGGCAGCCGCATGGATCATGGACGTACGAGCGACGTCCATGACCATGCCAATGCGGCGCTCAGCAGTCCCATTTTGCCGTGGAGAGGCCGGAAGCGTGAAGGTCTGGCGGATGCCCTTTGCTAGACAGAAGGCTCCCAGACGGGCAGAGGAAAACTCCCCGCCTCTGTCAGAGTGCAGACGCAGAAAAGGAAGGTCCAAGCCGAAACTCTCCCTGAGCTGGAGACAAGCTGCGCGGATCCAAACGATCAACACCTCACTGACGTCGCCCTTGCTGCGCAAGGGGAAGACTGTGGTGTAACGCGAGTAGTCGTCAACCACAAACAGGAAGTAACGCTCGTGCCCCTGGCCACGGACGCGGGCGGGGCCCCACACGTCCATGTGAAGAGTCTGCAGCGGAGCCTCTGTCGGAGGAAACTCGGAGGAGTGAGGGGTGGCGCGCTGTCGCCCCTCGACGCAAGGGACGCAGGTAGGGGCAGGCCCCAGAGGTAGGGGAAGGAGAGACCAGGGGAGACCAGAGACAAGGACACGGGAGGCCATGCCTCGGAGACGAGGCACGGAGGGGTGACCAAGGCGGTGGTGCCAAAGAGGAGTCTGGTGGGACAGGAGACAACACGAGCAGGGAGCAGACTCAGGACAAGACATGGACGCTACAGCAAATACCTGACTCGACGCAGCTACCTGACCAGACTCAGCAGTCGGAGGAGACTCATTAGTAAGTGTGTACAGGCTCGACCCCGGCCGACGGGTGAACGTGGCCAAGTGTCGGCCTGTCCGAGCACACGTGCAGTGGGTCACCCGCTGACTCACAGGAGTGAACTGGTCAACCCCCCTATCCTGTAGGTCAGCTCCACTCACCAAGTTCGTAGAGAACGAGGGGAGGTAGAGACCGGACAGGGTGCCAGAGGGGGCTGCCGGGCACGGTAAGACAGTGGAGAAGCTAGCAAGGACACGTTCCCTAGAGGGGTCCGCCAGGGAGACTGCAACCGGCCGATTAAGCGGCGTAAGCGTGGTGCGGTCTCGAACGAAGGAGCGGGACGCACCCGAGTCAAGGGTGAAGGTGTATAAGGCCTGAGCCGACGTAGTACCGGAGAGAGAAGACTCACCAGCATCTGGGGCAGCAGACGCACTAGCACCTGGGGCAGCAGACTCACTAGCACCTAGAGCAGCAGCCTCACCAGCACCTAGAGCAGTGGCCTCAATGCCCGGGTCAGGCGGTACACACAGATAACAGTCACCCTCAACACTAGCAGTCACAGCATACATGGCAGCAAGGATAGCATCATAGTGAAGATCAAAGATGGCAACCCCCGCCCTAGACAGATCTCCCCAGCAAGGGATCTCTGACGCTTCAGGGAACTAGTGATGCCACGCGGCCTATTTCGGCCCCACGCGACGCCCTTTTTGGCCCCTTACGGCCCCGTCGCCGCCCCGTTTAGGCCTCTTACGGCCCCTCTTCGGCCCCGTCTAGGCCCCTTGCGACCCCTCTACAGCCCCGTCTAGGCCCCTTACGGCCCCTCCGCGGCTCCGTCTAGACCCCTTGCGGCCCCGTCGCCACCACCTGCGGCCCCGTCGCCGCCAACTGCGGCCAAGCCGCCGCCACATGCGGCCCCGCCGCCACCTGCGGCCCCGTCGCCGCCACCTGCGGTCTCGTTGCCGCCACCAGCGGCCCCGTCGCCACCACCTGCGGCCACGTCGCCGCCACTTCCGGCCACGTAGCCGCCACCTGCGGCCCTGCCGCCACCTGCGGCCCCGTCGCCGCCACCTGCGGCCCCGTCGCCGCCACCTACGGCCCCGTCGCTGTCACCTGCGGCCCCGTCGCCCTCCCCTAGGGGCCCTATCACCGCTCAGCCGCCCAGCGACCGAGCCGCCGAGCAGCCCAGCAGCCGAGCCACCCACCTGCCGAGCAGCCGAGCCGCCCAGCAGCATAGCCGCCAAGTAGCCAAGCCGCCCAGCAGCCGAGCCGCCCAGCAGCCGAGCCGCCCTGCCGCCGAGCCGCCCAGCAGCCGAGGCGCCCTGCCGCCGAGCCACACTCGAGAAGCGCCTCCTAGCAGCAGAGAAGAGCATCGTCGCTGTAGGAGCCTCTCGTGGTGACCCTCGCACCACCGTCTTTGAGGGGTGTTCCCCCTCCCCCCTCTTGCCCTCTGTTGCCTCTGCTGCTGCGGCAGACCTCGTTGGTTTCGAGTCGGTCGGCGCTGCGTCTGCCCCGAGCGGGAGACGCCGCACCGGCAAGGGCAAGGGGGGAAAGGGCGCTGGAGGGGCTGGCGGGGGCAGTGGAGGTGGTGGTGGAGGCAGTGGAGGGGGTGGGGGTGGTGGTGGGAGTGGTGGCGGGGGTGGAGGTGTCAATGGCAGCAGTGGAGGCGGAGGAGGCGGCGGCGGTGGCGGAGGGAGCGGAGGCGGCGGAGGTGGTGGAGGCGGCGGAGGCGGCGGAGGTGGCGGAGGCGCCCGCGGCAGCAGTAGACCTGGTTGCGGATCTGCGCAGAGGAGTGGCTCCGATGGTGGTACGAGCCAGAAACAGCAGAGCAGTCGTGAGACATCGTCAATGGCATGTGGATTTTCAGGGTGAACGGCCGCCGGGTTCTCCGCCTGTTTTCAAGGCGCGTTACGTGGCTCGAGGCTTCAGTCAGCGGCAGGGAGTTGACTACTTTCAGACCTTCTCTCCCACCCCGAAGATGACCACTCTTCGGGTGCTGGTGCACATAGCCGCTCAGCGCGACTACGAGCTTCACTCTCTTGACTTCAGCACAGCTTTCCTGCAGGGCAGCCTGCACGCGGAGATCTGGCTGCGCCGCCCACGTGGCTTCACTGGGTCGTTTCCCCCTGGTACCCAGTGGAGCCTCCGGCGGCCAGTCTACGGTCTCCGCCAGGCGCCTCGTGAGTGGCACGACACACTGAGGACTACACTTGCGCCTCTTGGGTTTGCTCCTTCTACAGCCGACCCATCGTTGTTTCTGCGCACCGACACCTCTTTGCCGCCGTTCTACATCCTCGTGTACGTCGACGACTTGGTCTTTGCCACAGCTGACACTGCTGGACTCGCCCACGTGAAGTCCGAGCTGTAGAAGAGACACACGTGCACAGACCTGGGTGAACTGCACAGCTACCTTGGCTTGCAGATCACCCGGGATAGAGCACAGCGCACCATTACCCTGACTCAGTCACACATGGTGCAGCAGGTCCTTCAGCGCTTCGGCTTCACGTACTCCTCGCCTCAGGCCACTCCTCTGTCATCTCGGCACTCGCTCTCAGCTCTGCCTTCGGATGAGTTTGTAGAGCCGAGTGGCCCGTACCCAGAGCTTGTTGGCTGCCTCATGCACCTGATGACCTGCACACGACCTGACCTTGCATACCCTCTTAGCATCTTGGCATGCTATGTTGCTCCTGGGAGACACCGACAAAAGCACATGGCTGCAGCGAAGAGGGTGTTGCGCTACGTGTGCAGTACGTCGGGCATCGGGCTAGTGCTTGGAGGGCGACGTCGAGTGGTCCTCACAGGTCACGCTGACGCTTCTTGGGCTGACGACCAGGCTTTGTAGCGGTCGTCACAGGGTTACACCTTCAGCCTTGGCTCCGGCTCTGTTTCGTGGCGGTCTACCCGCTCGTCTTCTGTTCTTAGCTCCAGCTGTGAGGCTGAGATCTACGCAGGGGCCATGGCTGCAGAGGAGCTACGCTGGCTCACCTACCTGCTGAATGACCTAGGAGAGCCGCCTCGTTCTCCTCGAGCTCTTTACGTAGACAACAAGGCCATGCTGGCCTTGTGTCGGGAGCACAGACTGGAGCACAGAACGAAGCACATTGCTCTTCGCTACTTCCTGGCTCGTGAGCTGCAGTAGCGTGGTCAGCTTCGCCTCACCTACGTGGCCTCTGAGGCCAACACTGCTGATATCTTCACCAAGGCCCTTCCGCCTTGTGATCATCAGCGCTTCTGTACTATGCTAGGTCTTGTGCCTACTTGGCCTCACTTGCTCACTTCTTGACCTTGTTTGTATTGTTCTCTTTCTATACCTGCACTTGCTTGTTTACTTTTATATATATGATCTTGCATCTGAACTGGCCTTGTGGCCTTGCTCTTGTGCTCGGACTGCGTGGTGACGTTGTGATCCACCCTGAGCTTGCCTTGCTTTGCTTGACTGGTCTTGTGACCTCTTGTTCTCCCCCACTTTGCCTATGGGGGTGTGTCAAGCATATATATTATAGTTTGTGTAGGCTGTAGTGGGGCAATTCATAGGGGTACAACACTTTAGGGTTTACTACTTGTACTCCTCATTCTTCTCAATGCATTCATTCTCATTTCTCGTCACATACATGGCAGCAAGAATAGCATCATAGTCAAGATCAAAGATAGCAACCCCCGCCCTAGACAGCTCTCCCCAGCGAGGGATCTCAGAGGCCTCAAGGAACTGGTGACGCCATTTGTCCGTCAGGCGGCCGAAGCAGCGCTGGGTGGAGTGCGGGCCCCCGCACTGCTCACCAGCGCGGTCGCCAGTACGGAGAACGTAGGTGCAGGGACGAGTACACCCACCGCGCTGATGCGCAGCGTACCACTCAGGAAGCTGCTGAGGGTACAGGGTCTCACGACTGCGCTGCTGCTGCTGGCGCGGGCCACCACCGGAGTCACTCCTCTGTGCAGAGCCGCGACCAGCTCCACCGCTGCCGGCGCCGCCTCCGCCACCTCCGCCGCCTCCGCCACCTCCGCCACCTCCACCGCCTCCGCCACCTCCGCCGCCTCCGCTCCCTCCGCCACCGCCGCCTCCTCTACCGCCTCCACTGCTGCCACCGACACCTCCACCCCCGCCACCACTCCCACCACCACCCCCACCCCCCCCCACTATCTCCACCACCACCTCCACCGCCCCCGCCAGCCCCTCCAGCGCCCTTGCCCCCCTTGCCCTTGCCGGTGCGGCGTCTCCCGCTAGGGGCAGACGCAGCGCCGACCGACTCGAAACCAACGAGGTCGGCCGCAGCAGCAGAAGCAACAGAGGGCAAAAGGGGGAGGGGGAACGCCCCTCAAAGACGGGGGTGCGAGGGTCATCACGAGAGGCTCCTACAGCGACTATGCTCTTCTCTACTGCTAGGAGGCGCTCCTCGAGGAGGTCAACGGTGAGTGTGGTGGGGCAAACTGAGAGGAAGTGGTCCCTGACTAAGCGAAGGGAGTAAAGGAGCCGGGTGACTATGTAGTAGAGGGTGATGTACATGGGGGGGGGGGGGGGGGGGGTTCTTGGCACAGAACTCAGCAGGAAGCGCATCGCGGTAGCGAGTGTCACTAATGCGAAGGTGCGTAATGAGGTCAGCGACTGTGGGAAAGGCAGCAAGGTCAGAGAACAGGTACGGCATCATGAGTCGGCTAAGCGCAGCAGTGCCAGGGGAGGAGTAGCGTGAAACTATAGCGTCGTACAAGGTCTTTGCACTCTTGTACTAGCTAAAGTGCGCACACTCAGTGGTCAGTAAGTGGCGACGCACAGCAAGGCGGGCAGCAGCATCGCGTGTGGCCCACTGTCAGAAGTAGCAGGCGGGGCAGGAGAGACACCAGAGGTTAGATCGAACAGAGAGAGTCCGTCTGCCCTATTGCACTGTAGGAACAGCTGAAGGTCTTTGACCCAGACCTCAAAGTCAACAGCACGACCCTCAGCATCAAAGGTAAGGACACTGGGGGTAGCCATGACTGCAGTGGCCTAGCAGGGAGTGATCTCACCAGTCCGAGTAAGTAGGGCCGGGGCGCGCCGGTAGGAGTAGTAGGGGCTCGACGGAAGGGCGGCTCGCCTGCTGGGCGGCTCGGCGACTCGGCTGCTGGGCGGCTCGGCGGCTCGGCTGCTGGGCGGCTCGGCGGCTCGGTTGCTGGGCGGCTCGGCTGCTCGGCGGCTCGGCTGCTGGGCGGCTCGGCGGTTGGTGGCTCAGCTGCTGGGCGGCGCAGCGGTGAAGGGGCCGCTAGGGGCGGCGACGAGGCCGCGTAGGGAGGGGAGCGGCGACGGGGCCGCTAGGGGCGGCGAGGGGGCCACGTAGGTAGGGAGGCGGCGACGGGGCCGCTGAGGGCGGCGATGGGGCCGCTAGGGACGGCGACGGGGCCGCGTAGGGGCGGCGATAGGGCCGCGTAGGAGCGGCGACAGGGCCGCGTAGGTAGGGAGGCGGCGACGGGGCCGCTAGGGGCAGCGACGGGGCCGCGTAGAGGGGGCGACGGGGCCGCTAGGGGCGGTGACGAGGCTGCGTAGGTAGGGAGGCGGCGACGGGGCCGCTAGGGGCGGCGACGGGGCCGCTAGAGGCGGCGACGGGGCCGCGTAGGGGCGACGACGGGGCCGCGGAGGGGCGGCGACGGGGCCGCGTAGTTAGGGAGGCGGCGACGGGGCCGCTAGGGGCGGTGACGGGGCCGCTTAGGGGCGGCGACGGGGCCGCGTAGGGGGAGAGGCGACGACGGGGCCGCTAGTGGCGGCGACGGGGCCGCTAGGGGCGGCGACGGGGCCGTGTAAGGGCGGCGACGGGGCCGCTAGGGGCGGTTACGGGGCCGCGTAGGGGCGGCGACGGGGCCGCTAGGGGCCGCGAGGGGCGGCACGGAGGGCCGTGGGAGGGGCCTCTAAGGGACCTCGACGGAAGGGCGGCCCACAAGGCGCGCCTCGGGCAGAAGCGACTGGCGCTCTGGTCAGAAAAAATAAATCAGTGGTCCCTGACCGTACGAAGGGAGTCAAGGAGGCGGGTGACTAGGAAGTAGAGCGTAATGCACATCGGGAGCGGGTTCGCGGCTAAGAACTCTGCAGAGAGAGCGGCACGGTAGCGAACGTCACTATCCCGAAGGTGGGAGATGAGGTCCTCAACTGTGGCAAAGGAGGACAGCTCTGGCAACAGGTAGGGCAAAATAAGGCGGCTGAGAGCAGCGGTGGCAGGGGAAGAGTGGTGAGCGACTACAGCGGTGTACAGGTCCTTAGCGGTCTTGTGCTGGCCGAAGTGAGCACATTCAGCTAAGGGCCGATGGTTGCGAATAGTTAGGCGAGCAACTGCGTCATGGGTCTGCCACTGTGAGCGAGAGAGGCTGTCAGCTGTGTCAGGAGGAGCGACTTAGGAGCTAGCCGCGTGATCAAACAGGGAAAGGTGAACCGCGTGATCAAACGCCGTCTTTAGCATCGGTCATTAGGTACAGTTGCAGGTCATCGAGCCATGTGGTGAACTCTATCGGGCGGCCGTCAGGGTCGAACATAAGGACATTAGCGTAGCCATGACTGCAGCGCGGGGCACAGGTAGGTAGAGGCGGCGCTCGGGCAGCAGAGACGAGACGTAGGCAACAGACGTGGCGCGCTGGCAAGCAGGGGCGGCGCGAGGGCGGCAATGGCAGCGCGCAGGCCGCAAGGGTCGCAGACAGGCGGCGCGCGGGCCAGCAGAGGCCGCGAGAGGGCGGGCAAAGGTGGCTCGCGGGCAGCCAAAGGTGGCGCGCGGACGGGCAAAGGCGGCCCGCGGGCGGGCAAAGGCGGCGCGGGCCGACAGTGGCTGGGGGCAGGCGGGCACAGGTGGCGCGCGGGCCAGCCGGAACTTCGCGCGGGCCGGTAGGGGCTGCGCGCAGGCGACTAAAGGTGGCGCGCGGGCCGGCAGGGGCTGCACGCGAGTAGGCGAATGCGGTGCGCAGGCGGCAAGGGCAGCGCCCGGGCCGTACAGGCCTGCAAGGGCAGCGCGCGGGTAGGCAGAGGCAGGGCGCGGGCCGTGCGGGTTGCAGGCGGGCAACGCGCGGGCTGCAGGCGGGCGACGCGCGGGTTGCACGCGGGCGACGCGCAGGCTGCAGGCAGGCGACGCGCGGGCTGCAGGCAGCGGCACAGCGCAGGACACGGCAGGGCAAAGCGCGCGCGAGCAGCGAGACGCAGGGCAGGGCGTGAGGTAGCATGGTAGCCGCAGTTGAAGGTGGGCCCGAAAAAAGAAGACGGTCCTACGGACCTACTGCTCTGTATACCATGTTAGAAACTATCAGACAAGAATAATGTCACTAGTCAGGAAAGAAAGGACAAGTACCAAACCCTATAAGTGTTGTACTATATACGTGCTACCCCACTACAGCCTTCAAGCATACAAATTAGTTTTGACAAATCTCGATTCACCCCCGATATGCTTTGCTATGATGAAAAATATTAAACCCGTTTCTTTCGTTGAGATTTGCGATGCTGCTGTCGTCTTGATTTATGTTGAGTGGCAGAAAACGACGATAATCTGAAGCCATTTCGGTTGGTAACTAACTTGCACTTGATTGATCTTGCAGCCTTAATTTGCATGAGTGTCGATCTCTTTTTGCTCCCTTGGAAATAGCGTTGGAACCGTCTTAACTTCGTAAGGACAAACAGAGCAATGTCTTGGTAAGCACGTGCAGTTCATTGACTGAAGAACAGGATCACACACGAAAATACTTGACGACCCAATGCTCTCTGTGTGAGAACAATGTTGGTGTCTTGGTAAAGTTCCTGAAGCGTAGATCCAAAAAACAGATTCAGATCCTGAAACTGACACTGTTGAGGCTGACATTGTTAGCATTGAAAGTCCTTCACAAGAGTGACAGCGACTAGCCATGGCGGAGAGAGTTGCTCTCGGCATGGTGATTATCTCAAGTGTCCTTGATCCACGCGTATAAGCTATCGTTCTTCAACCCTTTAAAATACTAAAATACATAGAGACTTTCAATAACGAGCAACACAAACATGACCTGTCCTGATTCATCTTGAACTGCTGTGGACGCGTCTTTCAGCTGGATGCACGCAGATCGCACATAATGGACATGTGTGGTGGAGATCGCAAGAGGTCTTGCTGACGTTACATAAAGTGTCGCTATACCAGCCAACTTCGTCAGCCACAATGCCCTCCGTTTTCTCCAATCAGATGAGTGTATCACCTAGTCGAACAGTGTGTCTCCAGAAGGACCTACGCTGCGTCAGAAATGACTTTCGGCCACATCAGCTTCACTCCACTACCCAAGATCAGCGCTTCGAAGTCACCAATAGCACGACAGCCCCGTCACTGCGAAGCGCTAGGGTGCAGTTGATTCAAGTGACTGGTGTGGAGATGAAAGCACAACCAGAGTCATGCTTCGCGATGTGTTTACCACTGCGAGGTATTCGCGAAAATTCACACGAGGAAGGCGAGAAAGATAACGTGGTGTGCCCCTTCAAAAGGGAGAGGGCCCTGAAAACCCCTCTGATTGTGCTAGGTCGTATCTCTGTCGTCATTCCCAAGGTCACTGTACTGTACCACAATTTCGCAGTGTTCCTCTTTCCTCTGCGCTGCGCACCTTTTATTCCGAGGTTTCCCCTTTCAGTATCACACCTCAGAGAGTGCTTTTCGCCGCCCGATCCGTTCCCCTTGTCGCCGCCCCTTCCGCCGCCGCCGCCACTCCACACGCAAGCGCATTCCGAACGCCCGTTGCGCAACCCTTCTCGGTGTACGAGCCGCGTCTGTGTATAAACGGGCCGTGACTGTACCATCCCGCCCAGTGCTCGCGCACACGAACCGCATTTTCAGAAGTTTGTCCGAATCGGATCAAATCACGCTCCTTCGCCAACTTCCCGTACGCCAGTTCTCGTGTGCGCCTGCCCCTAAAGGATATTGATTTCATTCTAAGGCGACTTACTGAAAAGCGGCGTTCGTGACAGTCGCGCACGCGTAAGATGCAGTCTGACGCGGCTCAGTTGGAGAGCCGAACCGTTCGTGTCTGAGATCGGTCATTCTCGTTGCGGCCGGTGTAAGCGGTGTGGCTGCGGCGGCAGAATCTAGGAAAACTAGTAGCTCTAGTGCCAGTAGTAGCATTGCCATTGGAACGGCAGTTAACAGCAGCACGCCTGTAATACCTTATTGAACAGACCGAATTAAAGCACACGTTTCACAGCTGATATACGCGGATCGAGGAGGCTTGTCAAATCAGTTTCTTCTTTCTCTAGCTCCCTTCGCCTCGTCCCCTTCCACCGTTCCCCCTTGCAAGATGCTTCCTTGCGCCGCCCTTTCCCCGCTCGCCGCTGCGCCTGCCGCCGCCTTCCCCGCAATCATCCGCGCCGGCGCTCTCCGCGCCGACAGCCGCCACGGGGGCAGCGCAAACGACGTAGGTTGCGGAGGATCGTCGGCTTTCCTCTTGAACCACTCGCCGCTTGCGCGTGGATTGCGCGGATGGGACCATCGGCGGAAGCAGAGCCTGGGGAGGCGCTCGGAGTGGGTGCAGGTGCGCGCGCAGGGTTCGTCCGGGAACGAGGGGGAGATCAGCGACGAGGAGTATTTTGCTGACGTGGAAAAGGTGAGAATTAGATCGGGGGATGTGGAGACAGGAGGAACAGGGGGGACGGAACGTAACGGTGAGAAACGAAGCAGAAACAGAACCAGAAATAGATAAACGTAATGGGGGGGATGAGCAGCAAGCACAATAGACATTCAAAAGCCTGAATTGCTCTAAGTTCCCGCCACCCCTCACGCCCTTCACCCCCAACTCTCCCCCTTCCCCCCTCTCCCCCCCCCCTCCACTTTCCCCCCCTCTTCCCCCCGTCCCCCATACTCACGCCGTTTTCGGTCCTCGTCTCCTCCGCGTTCTCTCGCTCGTCATTGGTCGCCGATTTCCCTGCTCATAACACCCCCTCCTATCTTTCCTCGCTCTCCCTTAGATCAACCACCCTTCTACTCCCCTTCGAACCCCCTTTCTACCCTTCGAACCCCCTTTCTACCCTTCGAACCCCCTTTCTACCCTTCAAACCCCCTTTCTACCCTTCGAACCCCCTTTCTACCCGCCACCTACTGCATCGCCCCCAGCAGCTGATGACCCACTTCACGTTCTCCCTCCCCCTCAACCCCCCCTACCCCGTTCCCCCTTTCTCCTCCTTCCGCCCTCCTCCTTGGCTTCCTCCCCCACCTTCCCTCTTCCTCCCTGCTTCCCCCCTGCTTCCCCCCTTCCCCTCCCGCCGCTGTGCCCGCCACTAAGAACTGATACTAATTCGCTTTCACGGCGCTGAAGAATAGCCTTTCTAGCAATTTCCCGCTCCCAACCCAATCCCCTTTTTCCCCCCTCCCCCTTACGAACTATTTCACGGTCAGGCAGGGCAATGAAGCCTAGCCATCATAACCCCGCCCTTTCCCCTTAATCAACGTCGTCCCCTTCTCCCCCACATTCATGCCCCCCCCATCCCCCCGCGCACTCCCCCCCACCAGCAACTGATGGACTCTTTCACGTTCAAGGCAGTCAAAACTAGCCTTCGTAGCCCCTTCTTTCCCTCCCCCTGATTCCCCTCTCCCCCCACCCCCCCCCCCCCCCCCCCTCTCGTGCATCCCATGCCCCCCACCAGCAACTGATGGACTATTTCACGTTCAAGGCAGTGAAGACGGTGCTGCAGCAGCTGCTGGAGATGAACCCCAGCCAGTACAGCTTCCTCTACGAGTGAGTCCTCTGTCTGACTGACTGACTGACCTCTGAATCAGCTCCTAATGTGCTGGTGGAGCTGTCGGGTTGTCTACGCAGTGAAGACGTTGCTGCTCGAGATGAATCCCAGCCAGTACAGTACAGCTTCCTCTACGAGTGAGTCCTTTTCTCAGCTTCCTGGGGTGTCTCTGACTTGTGTGCGAGTGCGACCCTTGAGTGAGCGAGCCAGGGGGGGAAAGAGGGGTGGAGCTGTCGGCTTGTCAAGGCGGTGAACACGGTGCTGCAGCTGCTGCTGCTGCTGGAGATGAACCCCACCCCAGCCAGTACAGCTTCCTCTACGAGTGAGTCCCGCTTAACACTTGGAGCTGGAACAGGCTTGGCTCTCTGCACTGCACTGTGAAGCTCGCTTGAATGGAATGAGATGAACACGAGCTTTGAAAGAAGGTCTGCCTGAATGATCTCAGGAGGACAGATCGTACATGAGCTTTACTCTGACCCCCCCCCCTCCCCCCGCCCGCCCCCCCCCCCCCCCCCCCCCCCCCCTCTTTGTTTGTTTGTTTTTTTTTTTTTTCAAGACCTTGGAATAAGCTATGAATCTGCTGTGAAAAAAACCGACTAATAAGGTTGGAGTTGACCGGAGAAGAATCTTGGCATATTCTTTCAATGAGCACCGAAGGAGCGTAGGACGGACGAACTTCCAATGAGTTCTGAAACAACTTTCTGAATTTACCTTGACTCACCTTTCAGCCCCTTAGTGAAGTTGTTTCAGAACTCTCCAAGCCTGGGCGAGGTTGGGACATGATACGATACTCGCCCCTTAGTGTCTGCATGGTTGGGGGGGGGGGGGGGAAGGGAGGGGGTGTTGGTGACCGCTTGAACTCTGTATCAATTGTACAGACTTCCAACAACCCTCCCCTTCAACTGTATTGTATTGCTCCCCATTCTTCTCCCCGTCCCCCTCCCCCTTCTCCCCTTAATCGCCCTGTTACCCTCCCCCATCTCCACATCGCTTCCTTCACCCCTCCTCCACTCCCCCTCTTCTCCGCCCCGCGCCCCCCCCAGCCTTCCCCCATGCACTTCTCGTTCTCCCCGCCAGCTTCACAGTGAACAACCGTATTGTTGACTTTTGAGGTGCCTTTTGAGGCGATTATTGAGGCGCCTCGAAATCCCCCCGCCTCCCCCCCCCCATGCGCTTCTCGTTCCCCCCCCTGCCAGCTTCACTGTGAACAACCGGATTGTTGACGGGTCTACCTACATTCGCACGCTCGTGCAGGTGAGATGGGGGGGGGTGGCAAGGGGGAACTGGAGCAGGGGGGAAGGGAAGGTAGGCTGATGACTGGGGGGCGTTGTAGTGGGCGGGGGAGGTGACATTTGAGTCGACTCAAAAGTCAGTGATATTCGAGTGACTTTTGAGAATTCTCAAAAGTCACTCAAAAGTCAGTGGGGAAGGGAAGGTAGGCTGGTGTCTGGGGGTCGCTGTAGTGGGTGGGGGAGCCGAACAATCCAATCATGGACGGGTCGACTGACATTCAGGCGATGGGGTGACGGGGGGAACTTGGGGTGACGGGGGGAGCTGGGGGTAATGGGGGGAGCTGGGGGCAATGGGGGAAGATGGGGGCACACCCGGTAGTGCGTGCATCCATCCATTCCCATGCATGCACCCGCTCTCATGCCCCTCCATGTGCAATCCACAACCATGCATCCCATCGGTCTCGTTTTTGGGTCGACTCAAAAGCGCTCTCATGCCACGTGCAATGCGTTCCACCGCCATGCATCCCATCGGTCTCCATGCCTCAGGAGCGGCAGGAGTTAGGGGAGCGAATCATGATCACACGGCTAGACCTCTTCACTCGGTGGAAGAAGGTGAGATGAGAGGCCCCCACCTCTGCTTCTGCTTTTGCTGTTTTGTATCTGCTTTACTTTTTTTTTTTCTTCTTCTTTGACTTCTTCTTTCAGCGGTTATAAGAGTGCTGTGTTATTGCTAGTACCAATGTATGCCTTTATATTCAAGTGTTTAGATGTTCTTTCCAGCCTGACCTCATCTACTCCTATAACTTCCTAGTCAACCTCCACCTAGTTTCCCTGACCCTGGCGCTGCCGAGAGAGCACCTGCTGCATTCCGAGTGTACCACCCCTCTGCTTCACGTCCCCCTTATCCCCCATAATCGAAACTCCCTTGCAGCGTGACTCCCATCCCACTCAAACGCCGTTGCAGCGCTACTCCCGCTCGAGCATGCACGATGCAATCAAGGAGCCGAACCTAGCCCTGCTCTAAGCGCACATGCTGATTCCCCACTTGACCCCTGAAACCCCCTCCCGAATCCCCTCCCTTTCCCCTTCCCCCTGTTGCAGCGCTACTCCCACTCGAGCATGCATGATGCGATCAAGGAGCAGAACCTGGCGCTCCTGAGGGAGCACCTGCTGCAGACAGTCAGGTTCCAGCCTGAAGAGGCTGACGGTTCCTCCTCCTCTGGGCCCGCTCCCCCCACCGCTGCATGAGGTGTAACGACTACAGGAGTGTACAGTACACTCGCAGAAGAGGGTTTTTTTTTTTTTTTGTAAGGTTTTATTACCTAGATCTATCAGTCGAGTTGATGGATTGAAAAGAATAGGTTGGTGTTGAGGTATGGTGTGGTTGGTATGGTAGCAGGAGTGGAAGGGCACGCATGTAAGCGAGTGGGTGGATGTGTTTATTTATTCTCTCCATTGTGCATGAACCTTTGGTACGCTGGCCATGTAGATTTGGTGTTGCATTGGAATGGCACTAAACGGTAGTCACTAATTTGTTGTGGATGCTAATGCTGCATTGATGGTATCGGGAAGTATATTCTTTCATGTATAATGCGGAAAAACATCTCTTAATTTTGAGGGTGGTGCATAGAGTGGGACATTGTGTAGATAAATTCACGCACCTGCAGCGGGTAGTGAAAGTTCAATCGAGACTTCACTTCCCACGCAATCCGAGCAGCTCAGCTTCTTCACCTTGTCATCCCTTGGAAACGTACAGAAACGCATTACACCCCACCTCCGGGGACCCCCAGCCTGTTCATTCATGCTTCTTCAAGCCCAAGCCAAGCACCATCTGTCCATATTGCTCCGCTACACGCCGCCTCACCCGCCGCTCCTCGCGGGAAATTCCGCTCGTGCCCGAGCCAGCGCAGTATAAGAGACAAAGCCAGTTATATATCACATAAATACATTTTTTTTTTGTTTCGCAGGCTACAATCATGATGCAGCTATTATCGCTTGCACCCACGTGCGCCTCACTCTCCTGTGTCCCCGCGGCCCCCCGCGCACCTCTTGTTTCCGTGGAGGCAAGATTCCGCGCGTCCGCAGCCCGTTCCCGCATTTCCAGTCCCCGCTTTCACCACTCTTCCCCGCTAGTCGCGCTATCTCCCCTCAAAAGCGCCTCCTCCGCGCGATTCTCTCCTCTGAACGCTCGACTGCTCCGGACGCCGCCGCACGGGGCGACTGCGGCTTCTCGCGGGGGAAGCGCGCGCGCCAGGGGGAAGGGGGACGGGGATGCGGACCCGCGCGAGCGCGCGGAGCCGGTGGAGGCGGAAATTGTGGGGGAAGATGAGTGGGACCAGTGGCGGGGACGGGGGAGGGCGGGCGGAAGCGGAATGCGCGGAGCGCAGGGGGGTTTTAGTGCGGAAGAGCGGGAGATGCTGCGCAGATTGGGCGCGGAGGAGCTCCCCCCCGGGTGGGATTCCGCCGACGTGTATCTGCTCGAGGAGAACGTGTGGGCTAGCAAACCCTTCTGGTGAGACTTTTCCGGGCTAGTATACCCTTCTTGAAGTAACTTCCCCTGAAAAAAAAATGAATCTCACATTCTCGTAAAGACGAGATGTACACCCTTCGCTCTCTCACATACCCTCTCCCCCTCCCCTCTCCTCCCTCCCCTCCCCTCCCCTCCCTCCCCTCCCCTCCCCTTCCCTCCGCTCCCCACTCCTCTCGACCCCGTCCAGGTGCCAACCGTGGACGATAGTGCTGATGGGAGCCATGGCAGTGAGAAGTACCATATCCGAAACGCCCGAAGACCAGACTCCCATCTCTCCTCCCCTGCCAAAACCCCGTCCAGGTGCCAGCCGTGGACGATAGTGCTGACGGGAGCGGTGGTGGTGGGCATGTCATGGGTGGTGCTGCATTTCATCTTCGTCACGCTCCTCGTCGCGGCTGCCATCGGTGTCTGGTGGCTCACTTTCCTCGTTGCATACCCGGCTGTAAGCAAACGTACCTTGTGGTGTTACTACGAGCACGAGTCAGCCCTGCACATTCTGTGCTGTTTCTGTGCTCCTTCTGCGCACCTTCTGTTCCTTCTGTTCGAGCAAGAACCTTCTGTGCTCGATTTCTTCCGCCAATGCCTGGCCCTCCCATTAGCTCACAAGGGATCCAGTACTTGGTTGAATCATCTTGGTTGAAACCATTCTCTCGTCGTTCTCAGGGAAGGTTCTCTTTTGTCACTTTGCATTGAAGCCCTTTCTCGCACCATGCTCGTGCTAAATACCGGAGTTCCTGCAACCTTCATCTCTCAACGAGGTAGTTGTTGGTGATTGTGGCTGACTCTCTTCACTTGCAGGCTTACAAGGAAATGGTGCAAGAGGAGAGGAGGAGGAGGGGAATGTAAGCAAGCATTCCATCCTTTCCAATAGTGACAGGCTAGAGGATTTTGTAGTAGTGTTGAGTGAGGCTTGGACTTCGTATATGTGTTTGTGTTGTTGAGCATACTGTTCTTCCTTTTTCTTTAATTATTATCTAGAAGCTTGTTTGAGGGGCGTCTCCCAAGTGATCAAGATGCGTTACTTACCACCACGAATTGATTATGGGGATGGGGGAGATAAAATGTGTAACAAGGACTGATAGGGGAGTGATCATGCGTAAAGGGGACAGATAGGGTATATTCTACAGCTCATTTTTCATATAAAATGCGTAACAAACGCGTACAGCTTGGCAAGTTATAACAATGGCTGTGGCACCTCTCGAATCGCGATACGGGCATTCGCGAATGCGCTGGACATGGCACAGCTGAACACAAACAGAGGAAGAGATAACAAGGACAGAGGAAAACAACAGAAAGTGCACACGTGAAGGACGACGCTAAATCTGAGAGCCACACCACAGTAGTTCCCGACCCACACTAGAGCAATTTCGGCAATTTCAGGTCTGCCGTTGCGATTATTGATCTGGAAGCGACGCTGCTTGTTATTTAGACGCCAAGCTTAGCGATCTCCGCGAACGGACAGAAGACCGTCTTCTACATAAACTTGAAAGTGAAGAGCGTTTGGAGGGGCTTCGTCATGACGCATATAAGCACAGCCCCCGCTATAAGCGCAATCTCCGCGACCACCACCACGCCGATGACGGCGCCGCGCGAGCTCTCCGGCGCCGCGGACACGATGAGCGACGCGACGGACGCCACGATAATGGCGGCGATTATTAACACAATGGATACGATCAGCCAGTACGTGTGTCGCGTGTTGCTCTGGATCTTCTCGGCTTTCTCGAGGTCTTTTGCCGCAGTCACGATGTGAGATTTCGCCGCATTCACGTCATCGTCGATTCGATTCAGATACGCTCCCTGCTCTTCTACCATAATCGCCATATCCATGAACATGTTCTGTAGCTCCACCATGCCTTTGGTAACTTCCAACACCACGTCCATCTTTTCGTCAATATCCACGACGGCGTCTCGCAGCTGGTCTTCGTTGATCTGCGCATCGCGGCCTTGCATCTGCACAGCCCTTTTCAGCACATCCTCGCTCTGCCCGTGCTCGATAATCTCATCCAGCATCTCGTCGGTCGCCGGTTTCCCCGTCACCATGAACAAATGTCGCTGTAATTTCTTCCGGCTCTCGTTCTGAATCTCCTCTTCGACCACCAGCACCAGCCGGTGCAGCCCGCGCAGGCGCTCCGCCAATCCAACGGTAATGTTCGTCCGGTGTCGATCCTCCGCGGTTCCCGGACCGCTTCCGGGTCGCATGCGATTCGCCTCGTTGTTCAGCTTCAGCTCCTCCAGCATCTTCTTAATCTTCTTGGTGCGATTCTTGGCCTGCGCGGACGACCGCGCCGCGTCTTTCCGGAGCTCCTCGAGCTTCTCCGCGCGCGCCTCCTGCAACGTCAGGTTGTGCGCGTTTCGCACATCGCTGACGTCATTATTTGCCTTCTTAATCTCCTCCTCGATCGCCGACACCTCCGCGTTGAACGCCGTGAAATCCGGGCCTGCCGGTGCGACAGCTGATGCTCCCGGTCCTCCCGCGGCCCCCGGCCTGGGTGGAGGAGCGAAGCTTCGAGACACGTCCCATGTTTGGGTCCAAAGATTGTTCATGGCGGTTGGTTGTTCGGCTCGCTGGTTGGATGGTGAGCTCGTTGTCCGACTTGACCGGTTTAGGCGAGAGCAGTCGCTAGGCGCGAGGGGGTGCGGGTATGGGCACTAGCTGGTTATCCGAGGTTGTCGGCGCCGGTTGCGCGGCTTTCCGGCCCCTGCTTGATAGACTTTTACAGACTGTTTCGCAACGGGCTCTAGATCGATTAAAAAGGGCCACAGATGCAGTTTGTTGTAAGTACTAGTTGTATGGTCAAGTCAGGGAGAGCTGCGAAGGGTTTGTGTTGAGAATGTCTTTAGGTTTGCATAGAGGACGGGCATTCTGCGAAGGGCTTGTGCAGTGCGCTCGGTACTCCTCGCCTTTTCGAGCTACTCGTGAAATTGGTGCGAGTGGGGGGTGATATAACGCAGTCGCGTGACAAAATGGATGAACACAATGGGCTCAGTTGAGCCAAACGTAAGCAGTTATGGATCTCGGCTCTCGTTTCGTCGCAGTTCAATCAAAATGGAAAGGAATGAGGTGTGAGGAACGGAGGGGGGGGGCCGTGTGGCATTTGTCAAAGAATTCTGCTCCTATGATCGCGTTCGTCGTGTGAGGAACGCCAAGTAGGTCCGATAAGAGGCGACTGTGCTGCACTCAGGCTGCCTTGGTTTGGGAGGGAGGGTGGGGAGGAGAAAAGGGATGGAAGAAGAGAGGGAATGCGGTGTGGGAATGGAAGGAAGTCGAGGACGCGGGAGGGATGAATTCGACGGTGTCGAAATTGCGTCCGACGACCTTCCGAATCGCGAGAAGGAGTTCGCTGGGCAGCTTGAAAGTCGAATTTGTTCCATGAGAGGGCCTCTCTGTTGGGGCAGACCAGAAATTCGTAAGCTGGGAGCACAGGCAAGAAGATAAAATCGGGCAGGCGAACCACAAATCATAGGGGGCTGGGCAGCTTGTGCTGCATGGCAAGCTTCCACACCCTCATATCGCCATTCGTTCGAATTTTTGCGCGTTTCCTTTGAGCTTCCCATTCAAACGACGTACGAACGAAATCAACGACGTCGGGTGAAGGAAGAGAAGGTCCAGTATGGCCACAATTATTGGTCGCTCGGACCACCAATAATGTCAACAAAACTGGGGAAGTTATGGAATAGAGCTACACTCTACACGTTATGCATAAACTTCTGTACAGCAGCAACAGACTTAGGACGTGTCTCGGTTCGCCTCTGGTCGACTGTGATCTGGTCGGGGCTGATCTGATCGGGTTGCCTTTGTTTGGACAGCTCGCGCCGCCCGATCACAGAATATTTTCCTCGAACACTCCACGAGGTTACATAGCAGGCGTACAAACATTTCCTGCCACTTTCGGGCCCACTTTGGCGACTGCTAAACCCTCGGCATGGAACATGCGAATTTGAGTGTGTCCCTGTAATGTCGCAAAAAGACCCAACCCAGAAACATGCGAAACTGAGTGTTTCCCGGTACTGTTCGCCAGCGTCGCGTTCAACCCCAATCAAATGCAATCAAGTGATCGTCAGTGATTGTGTATGATTGTGTTTGATTGGGCTGTTTTCGCGGTTGATCGAGTTGGGGCGATAAGCTGATCGCGATCAAGTGATTGCCCCTGATTGCATGAAATCGCCTGCTTACCTTCTGTCAAAGTGAGGAATGATGATGCCATTGATGTTGGTTGGGGTACATATAACAAACCCTAACTTCTGTACCCCCTAAGACAAACCTCACTACAGGCTACAACATTTGACACCTTCCTGGAAGTTATTGATCGTGTCTGATCGAGGCAACCCGAGGCGAAACCGAGACACGTCCTCCTTAATACATTTCCCCCTTGCAACCACACCACATGCTCATGAGATTAACAGCTTGGAATTTGATTCAGACAAGGACATTATCAGGAAAACACCAAAAAGGATTCCCAGTAGCTATTTGTCAAAATGAGGAATGATGATGCCATTGATGTTGGTTGGGGTACATATGACAAACCCTAACTTCTGTACCCCCTAAGACAAACCTCACTACAGGCTACAACATTTGACACACCCCCATAGCCTAAGTGAGGGGTGTTAAGCAAAATAAAAAGAGTACGGTCACAAGACCAGTCCAAAAGAAAACAAAGCTCAGGGTGGATCACAACGTCACCACACTCTCTGAGCACAAGCAACAGTGGCCACAAGGCCAGTCCAAGAGATCACAAGTATATATAGCAAGAGTACAGACGAAGCAGGCAATAAACTCAAGCCTACACATGACTAGAACCTGTGTCAACAAGGCCTAACTGCACACAACACCTCTGGTGGTCACGAGGCGGAAGCGCCTTGGTGAAGATGTCTGCAGTGTTGGCCTCGGACTCCACAAACTCGAAGCGAGCCTGTCCACGTCTCTGCAACTCTCGCAGAAGAAAGTACCTGACGTGAATGTGCTTCACTCTGCTCTCCAGTCGCGGCTCACGACAGAGGAGGATCGACGCCTTGTTGTCAGTGAACAAGGTCGGTGCAGAGCTCGGCCGCTCACCAAGGTCGGCGAGCAAGAAGGTCAACCAACGCAACTCCTGTGCCGCCATGGCACCAGCGTAAATCTCAGCCTCAGCTGTAGAGGTCGAGACAGAAGAGGAGCGCGTGGAACGCCAGGAAACAGCTCCAGAACCCAGACTGAAACAGTACCCCTGAGTAGACCTGTGAGTCTCAGCGTCGTCAGCGTAAGAGGAGTCACAGTGACCAGTGAGTACGACAGACTGCTGCCCTCCAAGAACTAGCCCCACGCCTGATGTAGTCGCTAGGTACTTCGCCACCCTCACAGCTGCCGTCCAGTGAACAGGACGGTGTCTCCCTGGCGCAACAAAGCGCGCAAGGATGCTGAGAGGGAAGGCGAGGTCCGGGCGAGTACAAGTCATCAGGTACATGAGGCAACCCACAAGCTCTGCGTAGGGACCACTAGGCTCAAACGGCTCGTCAGGAAAGGGACCAGTGAGTCTGTGGTCAACAGCGAGAGGTGTGCGCTGTACGGTGGAGTGCTGAAGCCCGAACCGCTGAAGGACCTGCTGCACCATGTGTGACTGTGAGAGTGTAATGGTGCGAGCGGCTCTGTCCCTGGTGATCTGCAGGCCAAGGTAGTGGCGCAGCTCACCAAGATCAGTGCACGTGTGTCTCTTCTGCAGTTCGGACTTCACGTCTGCCAAAGCAACCCTGTCCGGAGTGGCGAAAACGAGGTCGTCGACGTAAACCAGAACAAAGAACGGTGTGGAGCCACGACGAACGAACAGCGACGGGTCGGCAGAAGACGGCTGGAACCCAAGGTCAGAGAGGGTAGAACGCAGAGTGTCGTGCCACTCACGAGGGGCCTGGCGAAGACCGTAAACAGGTCGCCTCAGCCTCCACTGGGTCCCAGGAGGGAAGGTGCCAGTGAAGGCCGAGGGACGACGCAACCAGACCTCCTCGTGTAGGCTGCCCTGAAGGAAAGCAGTGGAGAAGTCGAGAGAGTGTAACTCGTAGTCTCTCTGTGCTGCTACGTGTAGTAACACCCGAAGAGTGGTCATCTTCGGGGTAGGTGCGAAGGTCTGAAAGAAGTCAACTCCCTCGCGCTGACTGAAACCTCTAGCCACGTAGCGCGCCTTGAAGACCGGGGGAGATCCCGGTGGCCGCTTCACCCTGTAGATCCACATGCCGTCGACTACGTTCGCCCCAGGGGGGGGAACCTCATCGACATAGGTGCCTGTGGATCTGTAGGAGGCCATCTCTGCGTCCATGGCAGCTCTCCACTGAGAGGCCCAAGGCCCTGACACTGCCTCAGCGTAAGTGCGAGGAGTCGGAATGTCAAGGGCGTCGGGGTCACCCTCAGGGGCGAGGAGCATGGCACAGAGATGAGGGGAAGCGGCCGCCAGGAACTCTAGCTCAAACTGCCTGTCCTCTAGGGCGTCACAGCCAAGGGCAGACACACCCCCGACGGCCAGAGGACTGGTAGGAGGAGCAGCCACAAGCGTGGTGGCGTAGTCAAGGCGGCGGGTAGAGGCAAAGTCAGTAACTGCGGCAGTAAGAGCGGACACAGAGGACACAGAGGCACGAGGGTGAGTAACAAGAGAGGCGAGAACACGAGAGAGAACAGGACGGTACGTGCGGTAGTAGTCAGTGACAGGAGTAGGGAGCGACACAGTGAGGGCCGACTCAGGAGGAGACGGAAGCACAGACTGAGACGGACGAGGTGGACTAGAAAGAAGGAAGGCAATACGAAGGTCAGTGAAGGGAACAGGAGACGAGGGACGAGCACGAGGGGAGCGACGAGTAGCCCAAGAACGAGACGGAGGAGGAGAGGACAAAGGCGGAGAACTGGGGAAAACAGCGGGGGAGGAGTCAGGAGGAGGAAACGTGGGACCGTAGACAAGAGGAGAGGCGGAGGAGGGAGGAGAAGGGGAGGGGAGACCAAGGGTCCGAAGACCCGAGACAGGAGGAGGAAGTGGCTGCTGCTGCTGCTGCTGCTGCGACTGCTGCTGCTGCGGAAGCGGCTGCTGCTGGGACTGCTGCTCCTGCGGGTCCAGCTGCTGCTGCTGCTGCTGCTGCTGCTCCTGCGGCTCCAGCTGCTGCTGCTGCTCCTCCAGCCGCTGTAACTCCCTCTCCTCTCTCTCCAACGCCAGCTGCTCGTCACGGGCACGGCGAACACGAGCCTGGTGCCTAGTCGGGTAGGGGTGGGGGGGCGGAGTAGTGTCCGAAGCAGCGGTAGCTCCAGAGTCCACCCCCGAAGAACCAGGCGCACCACCCCCAGAGGCAGCACCAACACCAGCTCCAGACCCAGGCTCACCAGAACCCGAAGGAGGCGCACTCTCACCCCCAGTGTCCGCGCCACCAGCACCAGCTCCCGGACGACAAGAGTCCTCTGCACCCACCGGGTCAGCTCCAACTCCAGAACCAGAAACTCCAGCTCCAACTCCAGCTCCAACTCCAGCTCCAACTCCAGCTCCAACTCCACCACCCCCAGAACCAGAAACCGGTACAGGAACAGGCGCAGTACCAAC